CATGTTAACGGTTTTAGTCACCATCCATCAGTTTATATCAATAAGTGACTAAGTTTATGTTTGTTTGCTACAGGAACAGTCATGTCACTTGAGGTCAACTAGGGTCAAACTACGTTTTTTGCAGATGACGCGACAGATAATGAAGCTAGAGCTTCAAAAATGGTGTCGTTGTGTTCTTCTTCATCAGCCGAGTCGAATGAGATGCAATATGATGCATTAAGGTAAATAAAAAATATAAATTTTAAGGAATTTTGAAATACACATTTTTTTGTCAATTTTGCATCACGATTTTCATCGACCTATACTGTATATGTGGTAGACACTAGCTAAAATACCAGTAGTGACATAAACTCTAAGATGTCCAGAGCTAATCAGTATCTTAAAGGTAGCGTGCCAGCTTTCCTGGACCGTATGGAGTTAATGGCCCGGATAAGGAGAACCGGATTTTTAGAACTTATCCATACCTTCAAAACTCATGGAAACGTCTTAAATTCTTCAAATTTTGAGTACCCCAGTGCGAAATTCGCCCCGACGGGTTGTCGGTCGTACCCCAACCACATTTCACACCACTATGAACAATAAATGCACACACTGAAATCGCTATTACCGATATGCTCATCCAATCAAGTTTCGATAAACCCGTTCATTATCATCTCCTGCGGTTTCGAACACGCCTGTTAGGTGGTGCGGTAGACCGCGCCCAAAGCCAGGGCCCCGGTAACGTGAGGTAGCCGAGTCGGGGCAGCGTGCGCTGACCCAAGCCGGGGCCGCGCGTCCTCCCGGTGTCATGTGATAGCCCGGGGCTGCCCGCGGGGAAGCGGTAGACCGCGCCCAAAGCCGCGGCCCCGGCTTGGGTCAGCGTACGCTGCCCCGACTCGGCTACCTCACGTTACCGGGGCCCTGGCTTTGGGCGCGGCTTCTGCTCATACTTTGTGGTGCGGTGGTCAGGGCTGCGGAGTCGGAGTCGGAGTCGGAGTCGGAGTCGGTCGGAGTCGACAGTTGTGACCGGAGTCGGAGTCGGAGTCGGAGTCGATTTTAGAAACCCGAGCCGGAGTCGGAGTCGGAGTCACCGAAAATCTGTCGACTCCGCAGCCCTGCTAGGTCTGCGGAGTCGGAGTCGGGAGTTGGAGTCGGTCGGAGTCGACAATTCTGCCCGGAGTCGGAGTCGGAGTCGGAGCTGGTTTTTGAAAGCCGGAGTCGGAGTCGGAGTCGGAGTCGCCAAAAATCCATCGACTCCGCAGCCCTGGCGGTGGTGGTGCGTCGGGCCGCGCGCTCTGACTTCGGCCAAGAAAAATGCGTCAGCTGATCATTGTCATTTCTGCCACTTGCGTGTGGTGAAATGGGGTCATAACTTAAGAGACGGCTTTTTCATATCAATTATTTTACATAAAATCATATTTCAAACCATAAATAATGTTCGACGGCCAAATAAAAGAAACAATACCAATACAGGCTTACAGTTTAACCCTATTCCTGGCGGGCTCCGCCGGGACAAGAAACTGGCGGGGGGGGGGGCCGATTCGGCCCCCCCTGAGATCTCGAGAACGAAGCAAGATAGCGACAAGCGGTAAACAGCATCGGATACGCACGGCCAAGATCTACAATTTTTACAAAGGTCATTTTCAGGTCAGGTCAAAGATGACGTCACAGGGGTCGAAAAAGTCAAAATGGCGGCGCTAGATATGGAGAGAGTTTTTCTCGAATAACTTTCGAATTAGTCAAGATAGGAACAAACTAAGGGCATCATCGTGATCCTCTCGTCAATCCGCATCGAATGATATATATGTTGACCTCGAAAGGTCAAGGTCAAAGGTTGACCTCAGGTCACGTGACCTCGAGGTCATCATGTATATCATTCGATGCGTCTTGACGAGCTGAACACAATGAGACCATCCACGCGTCTGTATCTTGTTCCTGTACGGAGTTATTGGCCAAAAACCTTTGGTGACCTTTGATGACGTCACATGACCTCACAGCTGCCCAACAGCAAAACAGACCTCAAGGTAGTGAAGGTTGATCGTATATGAAGTCATGTATGGTATATGGGGCCATTCCGACCCGTTTTAGTGGTAAAAACAGGGAGTTGATTTTTCCCCCATTGACTTATAATGGGGAGGTCGCGAAATTGACCTGACCTTAGGTCACCGATATCAAAATTCCGAGATATACAAATTGCACATACTGGTACCCTAACTAAACCCTGAAGAGAAGAAATTGATCGGTCAAAAACTCTAGCTCTGGCGTGATTGCAAACTTTTCTGAGGTAGGGTCACCAAACCGCCTCTGGTGACCTGACCTGAGGTCAGATCAACTCAAAATTTTCAGACATGTTGCGTAGAAGCCTTTTAGGAAAAGTCAGAAAATTTGAGCTTCCTAGCTCAACGCGTTTGGGAGAAATAACCAAAAAACCTCAGGGGGGGGGGCTCCTGAGGCCCCCCCGCCAGGAATAGGGTTAAGGCTCGACATTGTGTTGTCTACGATTAGACAGCTGATAACTCATTCCCGTACGTCGTAACTCTATAATGACCTTTGCTTATTGTCACATCTGCGCCGCATTCGCGATTGTTGCCGACGCCTGTTTGCAGCTCAGCCCACTACAGTTGTTATACATATCGAAAAACCGATAAACTTTTAGACGAAAAAGGCACTATTCCAGGCCCATTTTTGATTTTTTTTTTGCGATATTATGTAAAAACAGAAGCTTCTTATCCTAGGAAAAATAAAATGGGAAATCTTTCAAAGGTGGCACACTACCTTTAATATTTCACTTTCCGTCAATATTTGGAAGACACATAATGGTTTCACCAACTCGTTGTAAAGCGCTGGGGAGGTGGCCGGCGTTACCCCTATGCCGGGCTTACCCCAGAAAAATCAACACTTTTTTAAAACTCGATTTTCTCAACCTTGTACTATTTACACGAAAATGATTTTTTTGGGAAAACAAGGCCAATTAACTTATCTAGCTATCAGGATATCAACATTTTATACAGCACGTATGGTATGTAATAAAAATGAAAAAGAGCTTACTATGCCGGGCTTCCCCCGGCTTCCCCTAAGTGAACTTAAAGTTTATTTGCAGATCTATACACTTAGCAGATGGCAACAGGTTGCGCACACATACTGTCGCGCGGCATACACTGTCGATCGTCTTCCATTTATTTCATCATCCCGTTTTACAATTTATCGTTTATCGTTCATAATTTTTGTAACTTGCGATAAGTGGATGAGCGATAATTTTGAAAATTTGGTGATAAACGATAACGATAACCGATTTACTTAACAGCGATAATTATCGTTTATCGTTTATCGCTCATTACGGAGCGAGCGAAGCGAGCGGAGTCTCATACTGAATTAAGGGAAAATCCTGAGTATGAGCGGCCGGCCGTGGGGACGCTCTTCAAAAGCTAATATCTTAGGAACGGGACATCCGATTGACAAGCGGTCTTCTTTACTGAATGTCACTTGGACGTAAAAGTTCTGTGGTGTGATGGCCACCATGCGTTCTTGCCAACCACCGCACGTGGCGCGTGGTAAAGTTGGACATTTTTTAAGAACCTCCCAAATTGCAACCTAAATAACGGCACAACGGTTGGGCCGATTGAATTGAAACTCGGTACACAGTTAGGCCTCCATCAGATAATTCATCTGCATGTGTTAAGGTTGGGGTGCTACAGCACGTGCGCACGTGCAGGGGGCGCTCCCAGATCTCGAGAACGGCTGGGCCGATTGCGCTAAAATTTGGTACACGGTTGGGGACCAGTTAGTAGGGTGCCGTGCAAAAGTCAGTTTGGACCCCGCTTGCACGTGCGCACGTGCAGTGTGCCGCTTCCAGATCTCGAGAACGGCTAGGCCGATTGCGCTGAAATTTGGCACATCGCTAAAGACCGGTTAGTAGGGTGCAGTGCACAAGTTAGTTGGAGGTACCCCTCGCAATTTCGCACGTGCAAGGCCCATCCTCTCGCTCGCTCCGTTGGTCGCCCAAAAGGCGTTTTACTGGTCCTATCGCATGCGGATACCACTGCTTTTTAGCTCGTTTAATTCTACACCTGCTTCTGTTAACCTAAAGCATTTTTCAGTTAAGTGGGACTTTAAAGTCATCTTATATACTTTTACTCAGGTTGATAAATTAATGGTATACTTTTCAGAGTCTCAAGAGTAAAGCCTGTATTTTTTATTTAAATGATGGCAAATACATATTTCGACCCCCATTGAGGAGCCTTTTTCAATGCGAAATTACATGGAATAGTAAACGACTAGGGTGACCCGCGTGCTCCGCAACGCAAAAAGGGATATTTTCGATCGGCGGGTGTTCGGTTGTTCTTGTGTCGGTTGGGTTATGTATCCATTTCGGTCGATTGCTTTTTGACGGCTAAACGTTTTGGTTTGTGGAAAAAATATCCACCGCATCGAGGTGCCCGTGTCTGATAAGCATGCTTTCCACTTCAGAATCTGTCAAATGTGCTTTATAATTTAGGTGCGTAGTTTTATGACAAATTAAAGGCGTAGATAATTTTCACTAAAAATCGTTTTGCAGAGTTTTATTTGAGACAATTGTTAATAAAGCGTACGAAAGGCCATATTTACTTTAATGCGAAATATTACATTAAACTAAATGAAATTAAAGATAAGTTACCCGACGTTTCGCTTATATTTGCTTAGTCATGGGCGATCTAACACATTTCACAAATCATACATTTTTTGAATGCATTCGAAAAATATTACAAAGTATTAAACAGTTTATCAAAAACATCTCCCCGAAGGGAAATTCGGCGATCGATCGATAGAGTTTCTTCATGTCGTTTTCTTTTTAACTCGTTCTGCTATGCTCGTATGTAACTTGAAAAATCCTTGTGATACGTTCGTGACTTCTTCAGTTCGGATGTATGCCGCCTCAATCAGCCACCTCTCGGTTTTCTTTAGGTCGCTGTGTAGGGTTTCGGCACCATTCCAGTTCGGTAAATGTCCCTCTTTATCAGCGTGCATCACGATAGCTGTAGGCGCCGCCGGGAATTAATGTTTTTTTTTTTTTGTTCGCTGGGTGGTTCGTTCAGTTGGTGTTTCCGGGAGTTGAGTTGGAATTGAATGGAAGTAGAACGTCATCAGTGGATCCTCCTTAGTAACAGTCAGCTGGGCGCTGCGTCGCTCCGGTCATGTCCGCTGTGAAAGTTTGCAGCTTTACTGCTGGAAGGCACGTATTCTGTCATCTCTAGTGGTGAGTTTGTAGTAATTATTGGTTAAAGGCCCATGTGTGAAAGAGATTGGCCGTGTATTTACCACAGTATTTTGCGTATGATATTTTGAGTGATGTTGTGTTTTACATAAATTGCGTATTTGTTGGCGTTCTCGTTCCTGAATATTAAAGTGATGATGGTGCTGCGCCGCCATGTTTGGTTCATTCCTCGGTTCGAGTGGCGCAGAGGCGCATGCTGTTCGCTGTGGTTTTCGGTGGCCTAGATTTCGCTGTGAAGTTGGAGCAGCTTAGTCTGAGTTTGACTGATTTGGTGTCAAATAAGGCCTAACCATTGCGGTCGCTAATTTGGAGCGGCTGGACGTGCGCTTGATCTTGTTGGGCGCCGTTATAGTCTCCCACCTTTGGGGTGGTCAAGTTTGTGGGGTCGACGCAGCCAACGGTCGGTATGTATCAGGATATAGCATGTCGTGGCGAACATTTGTATGCGTGAATTTGGTTTATGCTTCGTTTCATAAACTGGAACCGGTTCAGATTGACTTGGTAAATGTAACTCGTTGGTGCGACGCTGTGCAAAGGCTGTGCTGTGGCTAAGTGTTGTGCCAAATTTATTCACTTATTAGTCGAATATGTTCATTGCATACTTGTGACGGAGGTGATCTTTGTCTCGGAGATAACCAGTGGCTAATTTGTTTGTTACTGCTTCCACAGTAACGGGATTTACCATGGAGATGTGGCCACTTGGGGTCACAAATCTGGAATAAAGCTACCCAGTGAACGACAGCTGCGTCTTATTGATCCCGCTGGGGAGGCGATTGGAGGTGGCGGCTACAGTTACGACCGACTCATCATCCAGGAGGTCCTGGATTGGTCTCCACCTTCTAGTCTGCCTCGTCTGGACAACAACCATCCTGCATTGGAGCGGTGAGATCGCTCCGAGTGGTGGTTAAACATTGAGTCAATCATGTGCTGTTGCAGTGGAGATCCCCGTCAGTGACGAGATCCCCATCAGTGACGAGATCCCAATCAGTGACGGGATCCCCTCAGTAATATCAGTGCTCTGCCTATGGTCTGTTGAGGCACCAGCTTACATGCAGTGTGGCTCATCCGTGGTAGCTTGAGTTACAAGGTGTTCAGTTCAAGTGGGACATATTGGGTTAGTTGGTGCTTGACCAGTTGCAGAGCTAGTGACTGAGCTCGGACAGTTGTGGCGGCTGACCTGAGTCGCGGCAGTGGTGTTGGGGAGTTAAGGTGGGCTGTGGAAGTTTCTTTAGTGAGGTTGGCTCCGTCGTGGGGTTGGAAGGGGACCTTTTTCAGTTGGGAAAACAGGGTCAGTGTTCCTATTGTATAATGTTTGTGTATGTTGTGTAATAACTGTTGTCACTGTCATTCTTTGCTCAAGCTTGGGCATTAGACTGTACTTGAATGATCTTCACTCTTATGTTACTATTTCTTGAGCTGATAAGTTTGTTCATTTAAATGAATGTTATTCGAAGCGTGTTAATTCTAGTGCTGATAATGGCTACTAAGGAGGATCCTCAGTTGGGAAGTCAGGACCCAGCCCTGGTTAGTCTATCAGGGAGGGGGAGGGAGGACTTATTCAAGCTGAGGGTCTCAGAGTTGCAAGGTCAGCTAGAGGCAAGAGGTTTGGACAGTACAGGGAAGAAGGCTGAGCTGGTAGATCGCCTTAGTGCTGCCTTGGATCCAGTGAGTTCTCTAACGGGGGTCGTTGCCCCCGAGGGAGCTGATGGTGGGGATGGGGTCCTGGGGGAGGAACTAGGGGATGGTAGGTCTCAGGGAGGTGTCACTGAGTCTGTTCAGGTTATTGTAGAGAGGTTAAGACTGATCAGAGAGAAACAGATGATGGATGAAGCACAGTCTAGGATGAGAGCACGTTCAGAACAGATAGACTTGGAGTTAAAACTCATGGAAATCACTGGTCGTCAGATAGATGAGTCAGTTTTGAGCTCAGTCAAAGTCACAGTTGGGAGGCAGGAGAGGGCAGATAGTCTCACAGAGGCTGTTGTGTCCCAGACACAACGCGCTCTCCTTCCGCCCTCTGAATTGAAACCATTCTCTGGTGACATATGCGAGTTCAGGTTATTCGTCAGAGCTTTTAAGGCCAGGGTAGAATGTAGGACTGAGGATGAGAACGAGCGGTTACATTACTTGGACCAATATACTGTGGGGACCCCAAACAAGATAGTGAGGGGGTGCATGTTCTTGGATACAGGTGGGTACACACGAGCTTTGGCAACGCTCGAGGAGCGGTACGGTAGCCGCCACAGACTTGTTCATGAGTACACTAGGAAGATGAGAGAGTGGCCAAAGGTTCAGTCTGATGATGTGAAGGGTCTGGATAGGTTTGTGCTATTTCTGAAGGAAGTCGATAGCGCTGTGGCAGACTTGGGCCGCGAGTTTGATCATCCGCAGTTCATCAGGGCGATCTTGGGAAAGATGCCTCCTGCTATCCATGATAGGATCTTGCGCCGGTGTGACACGTTCATGGAGCTCGGTGGGAAGACAGCTCGACTGTCTGACGTAATTGACGTGCTGGCGACTGAGGTTCGCGTGAAATGCAATCCGCTGTATGGTGACGTAAGGGTGGATGATGTGACGCGCGGCCGTGAGTCCGGTCAGGGTGTGGTTCGGACCCACCGGGTCAGTGCCGCTGCAGCGGTGAGGCCGGATCCGCGGCCGTGCCCATTTTGTCGTGGGCCGCATTCCGTCGACAAGTGTGAGCAGTTGCGTCGTCGGTCTGAGCGTGAGCGGTTTCTCTTCGTGCGCGATGCGGGACTTTGTTTCGGTTGTTTGAGGGGAGGGCATTCCGCTCGTTTCTGCCAGCGCCGCCTGTCGTGCGATTCGTGTGGTAGGAATCATCCCACCCTGCTGCACCGCAGTCCCAATGACGTGCAGGATGCCTGCATGGTGGCGCCACCTGCGAGGCCGGTGGCAGCGCCGCCCAGCGGCCAAGCTCAGCCGGCTGGAGGTTCGCGGTCTTCCGTCGTCACTGCTAATGCAAGGGTGGTGACGCGGGAGGGCCGGGCGCGGGTGTTCATGCCGATAGTAGCCGTCAAGGTACGTGGTTCAGGTGGCAGAACGGTGCTGTGTAATGCGTTCCTGGATGGGGGGAGCAGTGGCTGCTTTGCTACTGAGGAGCTCGCGGGTAAGTTAAGATTACAGCCAGAGCAGACGACCATCTCTGTCGACACCGTGTGTGGTGAGGGGCAGGTTATCAGCTCGTCGGTTTTGGAGGGACTCGAAGTTTCCGCGATCGAGGGACGTGACTGGCGCTCGCTACCAGTGGTGTTCGCGCTGCCCAGATTGCCAGTGAGCGGACAGGACATGTTCTTGGAAGGTGACTTGCCTGATTGGCCTCATCTGAATGACATCTTTCTCCCGCAGGTCTCTACTTCTGTAGATCTTCTGATAGGGATTAACGCTCCGCACCTGCATGTGGCGGAGGAGGTGAGGGTCCCCGAGAGCGGTAGCGGACCGCACGCTGTGCGCAGCCCGCTGGGGTGGTACGTCATCGGAGCAGAGTTTCATGAGAGAATTCGCCGATCGCATTCGGTGAATTTCATTAGAACGAGCAGGAAGGCACAGAGTGATGACACAGGCAACCTGTTCGAGCAGCTGTACGAGCAAGACTTTTCTGGTTTGGACGACGATAGCGTAGGCTTATCTGTAGAGGACAGGCTGTGGCTGGACCGTGTGAGGGCTACCGTCCGTAAGGACGAGGAGGGACACTTTGAGATAGGTCTCCCTAGGTCTTCCGTCACGAGTGTCCCGGACAGTCGCCCGGTCGCTGAGAAGCGACTGATGTCACTGAAGAGGAAGTTGATGGGGGATCCGAGTCTGTTTCAGTCTTACAGGGCCGTGATGCAATCTTTGGTGACGGATGGCTACGCTGTGAGAGTGCCGCAGAGCGAGCTGACCGTTCCATCAGGTGATGTATGGTACCTGCCACATCACGCGGTGGTGACTCCTAGCAAAGTCAGGGTAGTGTTCGATTGTGCAGCGCGTGCGGGTGGAGTTTGTCTGAACGACATTCTTCAGGGTGGTCCCCACCTGGGACAGCCTCTGAACGCTGTGATCGCCCGGTTCAGGGAAGGTCGCATAGCGTTTACCTGTGACATAGAAGCGATGTATCATAGGGTCCATGTGCCGGCTGGGGACTGTGACTTGTTCCGTTTTCTGTGGTTTAAGGATGACGATCTGTCCGGTGACGTCGAAGTATGGCGTATGAGGTCACACGTTTTTGGGGCGGTGACGAGCAGCAGCGTGGCATGCTTGGCAGTGCAGCTTTGTGCCGAGGAGGGGAAAGGTCAGTTCCCTGCTGCTGCTGAGGCGTTGCGGCGCAGGACGTACGTTGATGATACGCTGGTGGCTGTAGAGTCTGTCGAGGATGCCGTCTCCCTCGCGCGGGATCTCACAGAACTCTGCCAGACCGGGGCGTTCCATCTAAAGAAGTTCGCTAGTAACAGTGCTGAGTTCCTGCAGCACATTCCCGAAGATGAGAGGGGAAAGAGTGTCAAGGATCTGAACCTGGCTGAGGGTGCGCTCGGTTCCAATCGTGTTTTAGGTGTAGAGTGGGATATGGGAGAAGACGTTTTTCGTTTCCATTTTCAGGATAAGGAGACTCCGGTTACCAGGCGCGGAATACTGTCCGCCGTGAGCGCCATATTCGACCCTTTGGGTTTCTGGGCTCCTGTGACTCTTTCAGCTAAGATGCTCGTGCAGAAGCTCTGCGCGGCATCGCTGGGCTGGGATGAAGCCATCCCGCCGGCTCTGGCAGGTGAGTGGGAAAGCTGGATTCGACAAGCTAAGGGACTAGACGGGATGCAACTGCCCCGAGCAGTTTGTGGTCCGAAAGGTGAGGTGATTTCTACGGAGCTGCACATATTTGTGGACGCCAGTGAGTCCGCGTACTCCGCTGTGGCCTATGTACGCAGGGAGGTCATGACTGGGCCGAGTGAGGTGGAGGTGTACATTGGTTTCCTGATGGGAAAGTGTCGTGTGGCGCCGCTGCGCTTTGTGACTATCCCGAGGTTGGAGTTGGCGGGTGGTGTCCTGGGCTGTCAATTGCGTCAGTTCTTGGTTCGTGAGCTGGACACTAAGTTTGACAGGATCCGCATGTGGAGTGACAGCATGGTGGTGCTGTCATGCATCCGCAACAGGAGACGAGGTTCAAAACCTACGTGGCGAACCGCCTATCGTACATTCATGGAGCCACTGACGTATCTGACTGGTCTTACGTTCCTTCACGGGATAATCCTGCTGACGTCGGATCCCGGGGTGCAGAGCCGCATGGTCTTCAGGTGTGGCTACAGGGGCCTCTGTTCCTGCGTCAGGATGAGTCTGGCTGGCCAGAGGAGCCAGCTGAGCAGTCTGATCTCCCAGTAGCAGAGCTGAAGAAGCCCGTTCCTGTTGCAGCTGTGGTTATCGGTGCGGCGGATTCAAACAGCACCGATGTGCTTATCGGGCATTACTCGAGCCTTTTTCGCCTGAAGAAGGCGGTCGCGTGGTTTAGGAAGTTCTTCGATTGTGTCAGATCTGGGGCTTTCAGGCAGGCCGTGGTGGCCAGGAGGCGAGGACTCCGACCGAGGTCTGTTGGAATCGACTCGCGTCTCACTGTGTTTGATTTGGACGCGGCTGAAGTCGCTATTTTCCGGTTCGTGCAGACATCGAGCTTCCCTGAGCTGTATCATGACGGTAAAGGGATGGTGACCGTTCCCAAAGGCAGCCCACTGAGTCGTCTGAACGTGGTGGCTCGGGGGAATGGTTTGTTAGCCGTGGGAGGGCGCCTGAGTAGGTGTCCGGTGAGTCACGACTTCAAGCATCCCGTGCTGCTCCCACGGGATCATCATGTTTCTCAGTTGGTGATCCGTCAGGCCCACGAGAAAGTGGGACACCAGGGACGGGAGCATACCCTCTGGAAGGTGCGAGAGCGTTTCTGGATCTTGGGAGGAGGATCTGCAGTTCGAAGTCTGCTGCGTTCTTGTGTGACGTGTAGAAAGTCTAATTCTGCTCCGCAGGTTCAGATGATGGCCGACTTGCCGGAGGACAGGGTTACTCCGGAGACCCCCGCCTTTTCCTCCATCGGTCTGGACGTGTTCGGGCCAATTATAGTGAAGAGGGGGCGCCTGGAGGTGAAGCGTTATGGGCTGATATGTACGTGTTTGGTGTCGAGGGCCATCCACTTGGAAGTTCTCCACTCACTGCGGACTGACTCGCTGATAAACGCGCTTCGTCGTGTTGTCGCTCGTAGAGGTCCGATTAAAAGAGTCAGAAGCGATATGGGCACTAACATGGTGGGAGCGGACAATGATTTGAAGGCAGAGATATCTCGACTTGATCGAAGGAAGTTGCAACAGGTAGGACTCGCTGAGGGGATTGAATGGGTGTTTAATCCTCCTTCAGCGTCGCACTTCGGTGGCTGCTGGGAGCGCCATATTAGGACTGTTCGGAAGGTGTGGAGGTCAATGCCTGTCCAGAGA